CTAAAGCTCTTCCCACATTCCTTACAATTATAAAGTTTCTCACCTGTGTGGACCTTCTGGTGAGAGTAAAGATCCAACCTCCATTTGTAGCCCTTCCCACACTCTTCACATTTGTATGGCTTTTCTCCACTGTGGGCCCTCTGATGGGCATAGCGTTGTGAATTTGTATAAAATCCCTCTCCACATTCTTCACATTTAAATGGTTTTTCTCCACTGTGGACTCGCTGATGTCTTGATAGACTTGAGGACCATCTGAAGCTCTTCCCACATTTTTCACAACTATATGGTTTCTCTCCTGTGTGGACCACATGATGCTTAAATAGATCTTGCCTACGAAAGAAGCCTTTTCCACACTCTTCACATTTGTATGGTTTCTCTCCTGTGTGGACCACATGATGCTTAAAAAGATCCTGCCTACGAATGAAGCCTTTTCCACACTCCTCACATTTGTATGGTTTCTCTCCTGTGTGGACCACACAATGACTATTAAGTGCTGATCTCTGATGAAAGCTCTTACCACATGTATTACATTGGAATGGTTTCTCTCCTGTGTGGACCATGCAATGACTATTAAGTGCTGATCTCTGATGAAAGCTCTTACCACATGTATCACATTGGAATGGTTTTTCTCCTGTGTGAACCATGGTATGGCTATTTAGTCGTGACCTAACACGGAAGTTCTTACCACATATCTCACATTTGAATGGTTTCTCTCCGGTATGGATTCTCTGATGTTCCTGAAGCAGTGAAGCATGAATGAAGGCCCTTCCACATTCTGCACAATTGTAAGGTTTCTCCCCTGTGTGTAATTTGCAATGAACATTAAGTCCTGATCTACGACTGAAGCCTTTCCCACACTGCTCACATTTGAATGGCTTTTCTGTAGTGTGGACTTTCTGATGAGTTTGCAGATGTGAGCTCTGACTAAATTCCTTACCACACATATAACACTTATAGAGTTTCTCTCCCATGTGAACTCTCTGATGAATAAGAAGAACTGATCTATAACGGAAACTCTTTCCACACTCATCACATGTGTGAGACTTCTCTCTTGAGTATAATTGCTGATGAAGATTAAAGATGGAGACATCATTGAAGGATTGTTTATCCTCATTACCCTGGTAAGCTGTCTGTCCTATATGAATAACAGATAGCCCTGCCTCAATGTGGTAGGGGACATCACCTTGTTTGGAGAACTGAGAGCTATTAATTATGGTGTCTTGAGACCTCGTTAAGTCACTTGCATTTTGTTCCCAGATTTGCTGGCAGGACAAGTCTTCATGTGCTTCTGCTTCTGGATTAGTCCCCAACTCAGTTTGGATCTTGCCTCCTATCAGAATATAGATTAAAAGATGTGGACAAGTAAAGCCTTTATTCTATGTTTTCAAGAGTTCATACTTAGGACATGGCATGAAACTTTAATGACTATAGAGAACAATTTATGTTTTCCAAGTACAACATGTTCTATGGTTTGCACAAGACTGATTTAGAACCATTCCAAGTCTCATATGTAAAATACTTGTTAGAAATAAAAGATTTAATAAAAAAAAAAAAAAGTGATACCTGTTATTGTTCCTGGTGAATTTTCTATTCAGTGTAAAATCTTGCATGATAAATGATGAACCTAATAAATTATGTTTATAAATTATGAAATAATCAAAAAGAACTTTAAAGAAAAACAATAACATAATCAATACTTTGTATATTTGCAACTATATTGTATGTATATCTTAATAAAGTAAAGAAATTAACTTTACTCAAAGTGAGGTCTGGAAGTTTTCTCAGCATTGGAGAGGTATGCTTAGAACATCATGCCTGAGGAGAATGTCTTTGTTTTCTTGAGGGCAAAGAATGGGTCAGGGTGGATAGTAACGCAGTATGACTTAGGCTCGATTGGCTACTCCTTTGGGTGTTAGGGAGTGGTGCTCACCATGTCAGAAAGAAGAACAATGTGATTTAAGATGGGGCTTTAGGTCACGTAGAATCAGTGGATCGGTATATTGATTAACCACTTGGGACTCAATCAATGAATAATGTCTAGGTAATGGAGGGCCAGTGATTACTCTGGAAACCAGCACTCATGTGATTGGCAGTACTCTGTGCCTAAGTCATACCTTAATCTTAGGGATGTAACATATTCTACTCTGCATGGAGAATACAACAGAAGGTCCTCATTTGGCACTTGCCAAGACTGTTTCTTCTTTGATTTTTCCTTTGGCAAAATGTAACGTGCATCTTTTCCCTGTTAAAATCTGTAACTTTGAGTATAAAAGCATCCAGGGAGTTCTGCCTATCTTTCTAGTGAATTATTGAATGTGCATGTAGTTTTGGGAAATCCCCAAATTTGCAGTTGGTATAAAGTAAGGGCAGTCTTCGTAAAATGGCCCAACTTTTATTTTTTGCAGTTTTTGGCCGGGGCTTGGACCTGCAACCTCTGGAATATGGGGCTGGCGCCCTACTCCTTTGATCCACACGCACCGCCCAACTGGCCCAACGTTTATAGTTGGTTGAGCTCATCTCAATGCCAAATATCCAAACAGCTATGAGTGTTTATATCTATGTATACAAAATATTCCTGCACAATAATTTTGCAATGTATGCTTTTCTTGTTCTGTGTTGATATAAACAATAATTTGGGTATCTGAACTAGGAAAGGAACAAACAACTCCAGCTTTGATGAGAATGCAAGAGGCTTCTTTACACAATAGGGGTATACAAAGGGGGATGCTCCTGATGAGACAATGAAAGGTAGCAAGAGCCACTTAAAATAAAATAATGCTTGAGGAGTTATGCTCTAGTTGGTTCCATGTGAGGTTATTGGACTGTCTCATTGAAAAAAAAGCGTAGAAAAATTGTGACATAGACAAATAGGCCTTTACACTTACTTTCAAATTAAAGACTGAAGATTATTAGTGAGCTACAAAGTAAGTTAAAATATTTCTAATGAGCATTTAGAAAAAACAACTAGAATAAAAATTAACATATCATCATGACAAGTCTGAAAGGCGTGATTACATGAAATATCTACTAAAGTCACCCACATACATCTACATCCATGAAACATATTTGTCCTGGTTATAATGAAAGATGTGTTTCTTACTATGGCACACACTCACAGAAAGCTTAGAAGCTTTGGTCAGGATATTACCAAGTTCAGAATCAAATTTTTTCAATGGAAAGATAACTTCTAACAGTGAATCATGAAAAGAAATTTTTTTTAGACAGGTGTCTCAATCTGTTGCCCAATGTGTCATAGCTAACGTGCCATGGTGTCATAACTCATCACAACCTCAAACTCCTCAGTTCCAGTGATCTTCTTGCCTCAGCCTCTCAAATAGCTTGGACTACAGGCATATACCATCATGCCTCGCTAATTTTTCTATTTTTATTAGAGATAGGGTCTCACTCTTGCTCAAGCTGGTCTCAAATTCCTAAGCTCAGGCAAATCCACCGCCACAACCTCCCAGAGTTCTAGGATTACAGGCATGAGCCACCAGTCCCAGCCTAAATCTTAGAAAGTATTAATAGGTAAGGGTGTACATATTGGCACATGTTGGACATATTTAATACCTCATAACTTATAAATAAGAGGTTTGGGGAGAGAAGGAAGAGTCACTTTCAGAATATTTATATTTTGAGGGAGCAGTTTCCCGTTACTTCCAGGTTATAAAGTTCACGAGTTCAAAATACAGTAGTATACTAGTTCTGTAAAAATATATAAATATAAAGGAAAAATTATTTAAAGTATATTTGTTAATGTCTTTAACAATTAAATTTGTATAAAATAAGCTTAGAAATATGCACATTTTTGAAGAAAGATGACCAGAAATATAGGCAATATTTGCTTGCATGACTAATGTCACCCCATCCTAATTCTTCCCCCTCTAAGAGAATAAGGGAGAAATCTGGGGGGCAGTGATGCATATATATACTTTGGAAAAGGCAAATGGGCTGCTGATGGGAAACTCTGTCAAAGAAAAGGTAGCTGGAAACTTGGTTATTGATTGAGAGGCATCAGGAAATGGAGATTTTTTTTTTTCCCCTTGTCTGAGAAGTAGGCATTAGATTCTTCCTGCAATAAGAATTTCTTCCTAGAAATGAATATGCTCCCTGGGGAAAGCTCTAGGGTAAGTCACAGACAAGGCATGTTACTTAGTGTGGTCATGAAAAGAATGCTTAAAAGTTTCCATGGGATGTGAGTCAGCTGCACACACAGACAATGCAGTTGTGCCAAGAGAACCCAAAAAAGGTGCAATTACATAGTAAGCCATCTGAAGACAAAACAACGTTCTGTACTCGCTCTTTTCCACTCTAGTTTGTGTATTACTAGCTATCTCCCCAATTCCTAAAGACAGTGAATTTCCCCTATTTGTTAACTTATTTATTAGGATAACAACTATTTAGAACCAGGACTGTTCTAGGCACTAAAATACAGCCATGAAAAAAACAGCTAAAATTCCTCCTCTTAAAATTCCTCCTCTTCTGTAATAGAAGGGATTAGAAGTGACAGGTAAACAGAAGTGTTTGAGACAGTACAAGACAAGACAAGAAGAGTAAAAATAGAACATAATTTCATATATATACATTTTTTTACATCGGGGAAAAGATATTTTTCTTTTTTCCAAAAATTACACCAAGATAAAGCAAAGCTCTACTTGATGCGAGTGTGTTGTGTAGGTGTTAGCAGTACTGCCCTCACTATGCACTCATTGGACAGTAGCGCAACCCCAGAAAAAGGATGATTAGAACATCATTTTAATAGAGTAGTTGCAGATAGCCTTCCTTATGACATTAAATCTGAGTAGAGACAGGAATAAACTTAAGGAAGGGCCATAAGGTTTTGTTGGGTTTTTTTTAAATTTTTATTGTTATTATTATTTTAGAGACAGAGTCTCACCCTGTCGCCTTTGGTAGAGTGCTGTGGCGTCACAGCTTACAACAACCTTCAGCTCTTAAACTTAGGCAATTCTCTTGCCTCAGCTTCTTGAGTTACTGGGATTACAGGCACCCGCCACAATGCCCAGCTATTTTTTGTTGCAGTTTGGCTGGGGCTGGGTTCAAACCCGCCAATCTTGGTATATAGGGCCAGCGCCCTACTCACTGAGCCACAGGCGCCACCCCAGAAGGTTTTAAGAAGAAAGGTTGTAAGAAGAGCAAGTAGAAAACATCGCACTGTACCCCATGATTGCATTAATGTACACAGCTAACATTTAATTAAAAAAGAAGAAGAAGAAATGCAAGTAAGGGCTCTGAGGCAGAAGCACCCCTGTAGACAGAACAAGTTCCTGAAAGATGTCCACATCCAACTCCCAGGACCTATAAACATGTTATGTTACACAGCAAGGGGAATTAAGGTTGTAGATGCAATTAAGGTCACTTAGAGGCCAGGCACAGTGGCTCACACCTGTAATCCTAGTACTCTGGGAAGCTGACTTGGGTGAACTGCATGAACTCAGGAGTTTAAGACCAGCTTGAGCGAGAGTGAGACCTCATCTCTACTTAAAATAGAAAATCTGAGGCAAGAGGATGGCTTGAACCCAGGAGTTTGAGGTTGCTATGAGCTACGATGACACCATGGCACTCTACCTAGGATGTCAAAAAAAAAAAAAAAAAAGGTTACTTAGCTAGCCAGAAAAGAAAATGATCATCCTGGGTTATTGGAGAGTGACCAAAACAATCACAAGAGAGCTAAAAGGTGAAAGAAGGAGGCATAAGCAGGGTAACAGAGGAAGCATGACTGTGAAAGAATAGTCAGAGATGCAAAGTTGCTACCTTTGAAGATGAAGGAAGGAAAATAAGAGCCAAAGAATATGGATAGTCCTAGATACTGATAAACCACAATGAAAGTTTCTCCCCAAGAACATCTAGAAAGGAACAAAGCCCTGAAGACACATTGATAGATTATTGCCCAGTGAGAATTCAGGCCTAAAACAGAAAGATAATAATTGTATCCATTAAGTTTGTGGTAATTGGTTATGAGCAACAGGTAATACAGTGTCCCTCACAAGACTGAAAAACAGAAGAGAGGACCATGTGGCTGGAAAAAACAGCAAGAGAGAAGAGCAGTAGCCAGAGAGGCAGTAGGGGATGAAAAGCAGGCCACCAGGTCTCTAAAAGCTATAGGAAAGATTGTAACTTTTACCATAAGTAAGTAGCCATAAAGGCTTTTGAGCCCAGGAATGGCACTTTGACTTAGATTTCCTAAGTGGCTGCTATGAGGAGAAAATGTACCAGGGAGGGGGCAGAACAACCAGCCAGAAGGCAGCTATAATAATTCAGGAAAGAGGTTTGGCAATTTAGACTAGGGCAATAAAAATGGACATGGGTAAAAGTAAACAGATGGGAGAGACACATAAAAAGACGCACAGTTGCTTGGTTTGTACCTGAATTCCCTTCTCTAAGGGTTCCTCTCTTTGTCATCCAAAGTTGTTCTTCCCTGAGGGAGTAGAATGTATCTTGGCTGAATGATTGATGCCCTGTGAACATTCAAAGTCACATGCTTAATCGCAACACATTCCAGGCAAAAATCTAAGTAAAACTTACCAAAAATTTAGATTCCCACTGCATGCTCTAACTTGAACACCCTAGAATACAAATCACTCCTGGGACCCGACATTCCATTATAGAGGGTACCTGTCCTTACCCACTAAGAGAAGGTTCCGGAAGTTCTCTCGCATCACATCTCGGTACAGCTTCCTCTCGGCAGAGTCAAGTAATCTCAGCTCTTCCTTGGTGAAGACGACAGCCACGTCTTTGAATGTCAGCGCCTCCTGCAACATCCAACACATGCAACCTTAATCTTATGTCCAATGACACTTGGAGGAGGCAGCAATAAAAAGGTGGAGAGGACAGGTGGGAGGTTGTCCTAGATGTCTGAGAGATGTGTTGTAGGTCAACTTACAGATTGATCCCTCATTCTGTCTCTATCCTGACAATGATATACACTGATTTTCCTGAGCTCCCCTATAGGTGCAATACTGAAAAAGAAGTCCTGTCCTTCTGCTTTGTGTAGTCATTGAGTCTACTTGGAAACGACCCTCTCAGATTCTAAATGGTGCATTTTTGCCTACACATGTTTAGCTTTCAATGAATATTGCCAATTGCCCCAGCATTTAGCAATTTGGTCCCAATCTTGTTTGTTAATGCCCATTCTCTCTCGCGCTCTCTGTCTCCTACTTGACCCATGGATGCTGTCACTTTCCACCAATATTTGTCAAACTAACAAGGTTATGGTTGCTGTGTGGGACAGCTATACAGTGGATACTTTGTACATTTAAGACATAAACTACATACATTAATTGCAGCATTCAATCTCATGATCTATAGCCAATGCTCCTTAGAGCACATCCGAAATCTCTGTGACTTACCAGGCATGTGGACCTTGGACAAGTTGGCCTATACTGTTTTTTTCGTTTTGGCCGGGGCTGGGTTTGAACCCGCCATCTTCGGCATATGGAGCTGGTGCCCTACTTCTCTGAGCCACAGGCGCCGCCCTGTCCCCCCCCACCCCCCACAGTTTACAGCAACCTCCAATTCCTGGGCTTAGGCAATTCTCTTGCCTCAGCCTCTCCAGTAGCTGGGACTACAGGTGCCTGCCTGCCACAGTGCCTGGCTATTTTTTATTGCAGTTTGGCCAAGGTCGGACTCGAACCCGCCACCCTTGGTATGTGGGGCTGGCGCCCTACCCACTGAGCCACAGGCACTGCCCTCTATACTGTTCTTTTTTTTTTTTTTTTTGAGACAGAGCCTCAAGCTGTCCCCCTGGGTAGAGTGCCGTGGCATTACAGCTCACAGCAACCTCCAACTCCTGGGCTCAAGTGAGTCTCCTGCCTCCACCTCCCAAGTAGCTGGGACCACAGGCGCCCGCCACAACGCCCGGCTATTTTTTGGTTGCAGCCGTCATTGTTGTTTGGCGGGTCCGGGCTGGGGATTAGAACCAGCCACCTTAGGTGTACATGGCTGGCGCCTTAGCCGGTTGAGCCACAGGTGCCGAGCCCTCTATATTGTTCTTTATGTATAATGATTATCTTGTGATAATAGTTTTGTAAAGAATTAAACAAGGGAATATGTGTGATATTGAGGAAAGTGTATGATACAGACTAAGCTCTTAACAAATGTTAGCTATTTTTATATTTTATTATAAATATCATTATCGTTATCAGTTTCATTCATGTCTTTTTATAGTATTCCAGGGAACTGATCTTTTTTTTTGTTTTTTTGAGACAGATCCTCAAGTTATCGCCATGGATAGAGTGCTGTGGTGTCACAGATCACAGCAACCTCAAACTCCTGGGCTTAAGCGATTCTCTTGCCTTAGCCTCCCAAGTAGCTGGGACTACAGGTGTCCACCAGAACACCCAGCTATTTTTTGGTTGTAATTGTCATTGTTGTTTGGCAGGCCCAGGCTGGATTCAAACCTGCCAGCTCTGGTGTATTGTGGCTGGTAGCCTAGCCGCTGAGCTACAGGCGCCAAGCCAAACTGATCTATTTTTAATCTTAAGAATGAATATTTAATTTTAGATATTTTTCATCATTACCAATCTTTTAAAGAACATCATTTTATATACATCTTACTCTTCAGTGTGATCTTTTAAAATATTTTGAAATGAGGGCGGTGTCTGTGGCTCAAAGGAGTAGGACACCAGCCCCATATGCCAGAGGTGGCAGATTCAAACCCAGCTGCAGCCAAAAACTGCAAAAATAATAATAATAATAATTTGAAATGAAAATTAATATGGTGGCTCAGCACTTGTAGCACAGTGGTTACAGCACCAGCCACATACACTGAGGGTGGCGGGTTCAAACCTGGCCCAGGCCAGCTAAACAATTGCAACCAAAAAATACCAGGTGTTGTGGCAGGTACCTGTAGTCCCAGTTACTTGGGAAGCTGAGGCAAGAAAATGGCTTAAGCCCAAGTGTTTGAGGTTGTTGTGAGCTATGATGCCATAGCACTCTACTGAGGGTGACATAGTAAGACTCTGTCTCAAAAAAAAAAAAAAAATTAAAATGCCAAAGAAGGATGTTTACAACTGTGATCATACAATATCAGACCTCCTCAATTTTTTACCAAATTCCAAAATCTTTCAAGGAGATACATGTACCCTGATTATTGTATAGTATAGCAAATCAATTTCCCAATGATTTTGGTAATGAGATTAGGAAGAATTCATTTTATTATTCTCACTTATTTGATTATAAATGAATACCCTCATCTCATCAAATATTTATTGGCTATCTTTATTTCTTCTTTTATACTTGCCTCATAATGTTTTTTATTCATACTTCTTTGATTTTTCTTCTCTATTCTGTGTGTAATGTTCTAGCTTTAGATTTTGCCTTTTTAGATATCCAGGTGGTAAATATTTTCACTATAGGCTGATATATTTTCTAATAATATAGTATAAGACATCTTTTGCCATAAGAAATTTAGATTTTCTTTTTTTTTTTTTGGCCAGGGCTGGGTTTGACCCCACCACCTCTGGCATATGGGGCCAGCGCCTGACTCCTTTGAGCCACAGGTGCTACCCATAGATTTCTGTAATGACTACGGCAATCACTGCCTTGGGTGCCCGAAGAGCTGGGTCCACCTGAGTAGGTGCCATGTCAGGAAGAAAATTCAGAAGTTACACTGATGTGGGGACAGAGGAGCTGTACCATTTGTGGATGGCATCACTTAACAGGGTACTCCAGATACCTACACCACAGAGTAGAGGTTGCTCAATTCAAAATTCTCTCAGTCTTGGCTTGGCGCCCTTAGCACAGTGGTTGCAGTGCCAGCCACATGCACCAAGGGTGGTGGGGTCAAATCCAGCCCAGAGCAGCTAAACAACAATGACAACTGCAACCAAAAAAAAAAAAAATAGCCAGGCATTGTGGCAGACACCTGTGGTCCCAGCTACTCAGGAGGCTGGGGCAAGAGAAAATTACTTAAGTCCAGGAGTTTGAGCTGTGAGCTGTGACGTCACAGTACTCTACCAAGGGCAACATAGTGAGACTTTGTCTCAAAAGCAAAGAAAAGTTCTTTCAGTCTTCTTGTCTCTGTCTTTAACTGGAGCAGAATTCCTGACTCCTGGTTTACTGCCTGAGCCTGAGCAGATTTCTCATAGTTCATGTGGTTAAGATGAAGATGAGACTGAGAACAGCCTCCTTCAGCTGTTTTGAGGAGCAAATGAAGGAACAAAACACAAGTCACTGGAAAAATCTGTTGGTATCAAGGACATTTAAATTTAAGGTCACCTACTACTTTGGTCAAATTCCTTATTACATAAAAGAATAAGAAAAGACCAGTTCAGCATGGCACCTGTGGCTCAAGGAGTAGAGCGCCAGCCCCATATACTGGACGTGGTGGGTTCAAACCTGGCCCTGGTCAAACAAAACTGCAAAAAAAAAAAAAGAGAGAATTTTGGTTGGGGGCCTGTAGCTCAAGCAGCTAAGGCACCAGCCACATCACCAGAGCTGGCGGGTTCAAATCCAGCCTGGGCCTGCCAAACAACAATGACAACTACAACCAAAATTGTGGCAGGCACCTGTGGTCCCAGCTACTTGGGAGGCTAAGGCAAGAGAATCGTTTAAGCCCAGGAGTGGGAGGTTGCTGTGAGCGATGATGCCATGGCACTCTACCCAGGGCAACAGCTTGAGGCTCTATCTCAAAAAAGAAAAGAAAAGAAAAGGCCAGTAAATAAAATATACAGAAGGCAATACTCAGGCATGGGGAAAACAGAATCTAGCTCTACCAGCTCTTCCTGTTTGAAAACTTCCAACAATACTAGAATGAAGCCCCAGTCACAGCCTGCCGTGCTGTGCCACGTGTGGATACTCCACCTGCCCAACAGCCAATGAGGCACATGTCAAAAGTACATTCTCAAAATTGAGTTCCTAATGTCCGTGAGTGGAAAATAATTAAAAAGGCACATCGATTCATTGAGAATATGAGGTAACCATAAAAAACGAACATTATATAGTATTAAATGAAAAGCATACACTTTAAATTAGATGAATATTGATACACACACTGTTATGAAAGAGTATGAGGAAGAGTATAAGAAAAAATAGTTAATGATGTGAGCAGGGAAGTATTATAGTAAAAGAATTATGTATCCCTATGATTTTCTCTACTTCATTAAAAAAAAGTGATACAACAAAACAAGAAGTAAAACTAAATGCAAAGGCAACACAAAAGAGACAAAGGAAGCACCTGGCACACAACAAGTCCTCAAATGCCTGCTGTTCTCCTTGAGTCTTCCCAAGACAGAGAAAAACACATGACAATCTGAGCAGTGAGACAAAATTTTAACACCAAGAAAGGCAAGCCTTACTCACCTTGAACGTGGTCATTTTTCATCCAACTTCTGGAAATTTGCAGAATCCTGAGTTATGCAGTTTTAGGAAGGCAAAACTGTGCCTAGAATGTGCCTGAAAGAGACATACGAAAGGGTAGCCAGGGATGATACCCAGCAATAGGCATGTGTATTATGAATTAGCAGGAGAATGTTCTCGGCAGCATTATTTGTAATAACTCATAACTGCAAACTATGGAAATGTCCTCCTGTGGGTAAATGGATAGACAAATTGTGGCATACAAAGTCTGACAATTAAGTTTGCAAACTCATCCTAGAAAAATTACTATATACCTCACTGCTTTTTTTTTTTTTTGCAGTTTTTGGCTGAGGCTGAGTTTGAACCCACCACCTCCAGCATATGGGCCAGTGCCCTACTCCTTCAAGCCACAGGCACCACCCCTACCTCACTGCTGAATTAGGGAGCTATGCACTGATGCCAGGGCTGAGTCCATCCTTCAAAGCAATTTTGGAACTCTTTTTCTAGAATGTCCATCAAAGCTGTCATTATATTACCCTTGATGTCCTGAATGCCATCAAAATGTCTTCCTTCCTTTCTTTTTTTTTTTTTTTAAGAGACAAAGTTTCACCCTGTTGCCCTCAGTAGAGTGCCATGGCATCACAACTCACAGCAACCTCCAGTTCTTGAGCTTAGGCAGTTCTCTTGCCTCAGCTTCCTGAATAGCTGGGACTACAGGCACCCACCACAACACCCAGCTATTTTTTTGTTGCAGTTTGGCCAGGGCAGAGTTTGCTACCCGCCACCCTTGCTATATGGGGCCAGCAGCCTACTCACTGAGCCACAGGTGTAATCCAAAATGTCTTCCTTTCAATATTTCCTTTATCTCTAGGTAAGGAAAAAAGTCACTGGGGGCGAGATCAGGTGAGTAGTGAGGATATTACAATACAATTATTTGTTTATTGGCTATAAACTCCCTCACAGACAATGCTGTACGAGTCAGGGCATTGTCATGAGGTAAGAGCCATGAGTTGTTGGCCAACATTTTCTCTATAGATGTTTACTTGGTCTGCTATGCTTCTCACAGTCAACTGACGATTTTGACATACAATTTGATAAACTTTTATAATGTTTTCTTCAGTTCTATTTGTTACTGGCTGCCCTGACTTCTCTTCATCAGTGATGCTTTCTCTCCCCTCAGAAAAATGTTTAACCCATTTGTACACAGCAGTTTTCTTCATGGCATTATCCCCATAAACTTGGACCAACATGTTCCTGATTTCACTTCCACTCTTACCAACCTTAGCAAGAAAAGGTTTGTTCCTTGCTCTAATTACAGCTCCAACATTCTCAGGACAACACAGAAAACCACACAACAAAGATGAATGCCACTCAGCAAGACATCATCACATGTCAACATGAACACAAGGTGAGAGACTGATATGCCAAGGTTATGACACCTTACAATACTTGTTTATATCATACTGCCAACATAAGCACTGGGTAGCAAGTCTGTAAACTTAATTGTCAGACCTTGTATTCATACAATGGAATAGTATTCACCTACTAAAAGGGCTGAAGTATTGAGTCATGCTACAACATGCACGTAACTGGAAAACATTATGCCAAATTAAAGAAGTCAGTCACAAAGGACCATATATGGTTAATTCCATTTCTATGAAATGTCCAGAGTAGGTAAATGTATGTATAGAGAAAGTTGGTTAGTTATTGCTTTGGATTTGAGGTGAGAATGAGGTTTGTCTATGAATGCATAGGAGTTCAAGTGGGTGATGACAATGATCTAAACTGAATTAGAGTGATCATTCCTCCAGTTGGAAAACATTCTAAAGATCATTGGATATACACAGGAAATGAGTAAGTTATTTTTTCTGTTTTTTGAGACAGTTTCAAGCTGTGGCCCTGGGTAGAGTGCTATGGCATCACAGATCACAGTAACCTCAAACTCTTGGGCTCAAGTGATTCTCTTGCCTCAGCCTCCCAAGTAGCTGGGACTAGAGGTGCCTGCCACAAAGGCTGGCTATTTTTTTTTTTTTTTTTTTGGTTGTGGTTGTTATTGTTGTTTTAGCTGGGCTGGGTTCAAACCCACCAGCCTTGGTATACCTGGTCAGTGTCCTACCCACTGAGCTATGGGCACCACCCAAGTTTTATGATATGTAAAATATGCCTCAATAAAGTTGGAAAAATAATTGTTAAGGTATATGTCATTTAATTTAACAAGAGTTGATTCTGAGTCCATATTGATAGAATATTTATGATTGAAAAAATGAATGAATGAGAGGTAGAAGCTCATCTTCACAGTAGAATGCCCACTTCCAGATGGGCAACAGTGAGACCTTATCTCTACAAAAAAAATTTTTTTTAATTAGTTGGGCATGGTTCCATACACTTGTAATCCCAGCTACTTGGGAGACAGAGACAGAAGGATGACTTGAGCCCAGGGGTTCAAGGTCAAGGTTATAGTGATCTATCATGGAACCACCGCACTCTAACCTGTGTGACTAAGAGCATATGTAAAAAAAAAAAAAAAAAAGTAAATAATAAAAATGTCTACTAATAATGTATCTCCCCATAAGAAACTGTTATTTCTAAAATTAAAAAAAATACATTTATAGTGAACAAATTTAAAAGATATCATCTTAGCTAACTGAACAACGTTGAGGTCTCCAACAAAGGGGCCAAAGGACATCATTTGACTACTGTTATGGTACAAGGAAAAGGACACCTCACCACGTCTGTGATATCCCCACCAACAGTGAATAACCTAAACCTAAATGTGAAAATCCCCAGTGAATGTTTCTCCAAAATAACTCACCTATATTCTTCAAAAATACACAGCATAAAAAAGACAAAGATTGTGGAATCCTTCTGGATTAAAAGTGAGTATGTAACTAATATCCAAAATCTACACAGGAAGCCAGACACAGTGGCTCATGCCTGTAATCCCAGCACTTGGGAGGCTGAGGTGAGTGGATTGCCTGAGCTCAGGAGTTCATGACCAACCTAAGCAAGTGTGAGACCCCTGTCTCTAAAAACAAGATAGCTGGGCACTGTGGTGGGAGCCTGTAGCTGCAGCTACCTGGGAAGCTAAGACAAAAGAATTGTGTGAACCCAAAGGAATCAGATGTTGCTGTGAGCTAAGAAGCCACGGCACTCTACCAAGGGTGACCAAATGAGACTCTGTCTGAAAAACAAACAAACAAAAATCTACAAAGAACTCAAATCAGAAAGAAAAAATAAATAACCTCTTCAAAAAGTAAACAAAAGACATGAACAGAAACTTTTCAAAAGAAAATAGACCAATAGCCACCAAAGACATGAAAAAATGCTCAAGAGGAAAATGCAAATAAAAACCACAATTTGATACTGTTTTACCCTTATCAGAATAGCCATTAAAAAGTCAAAATCCCTAGTAGATGCTGGTGTGCATTCAGAGAGAAAGAAATTCTTACACACTGTTGATGGGACTGCAAACAGTATAGAGAGTCCTCAAAGAACTAAATGTAGACCTATCATTTGATCCAGCAGTCTCAGTGCTGGGTATCTACCCAAAGGAAAAGAAGTCATTCTATCAAAAAGATACCTGCACTCAAATGCTTATTGCAGCACAATTCACAATTGCAAAAATGTGGAATCAACCTAAGTGCCCTTCAATTCATGAATGGATAAGGAAAATGTAATAAGTGTATATATAGATCACTATGAAAATTTGGAGAGAGACTGTTATGGTCTGTTATTTTGCTTCCAAGAAACACAGTCAACGGCATCCTTTCTGATTCACCAGTACAAGTTTCTTTTTTTTTTTTTTTTTGAGACAGAGCCTCAAGCTGTCCCCCTGGGTAGAGTGATGTGGCATCACAGCTCACAGCAACCTCCAACTCCTGGGCTCAAGCGAGTCTCCTGCCTCCGCCTCCCAAGTAGCTGGGACCACAGGCGCCTGCCACAATGCCCAGCCATTTTTTGGTTGCAGCCGTCATTGTTGTTCAGCGGACCCGGGCTGGACTCGAACCTGCCACCCTAGGTGTATGTGGCTGGCACCCCAGCCACCCAAGTCACAGGTGCCGAGCCACCAGTACAAGTTTCAACAAACTCAGCTAATTGGTGTTGCTGAGAAGGCATAATTTATTTCTGTCCGTTTGGATTTTATGTTTCTTGATTTTTGTATAACTCAAAATGTTCATATGAACCATGTACCATGTAGTACCACTTAACAATAAAAAGGAATGAAGTAATGTCATTTGCAGCAATGTGGATAGAACTGAAGACCATTTTCCTGAGTAAAGTATCTCAGGAATAGACAACCAAACACCATATATTCACACTAATAAGCGGGAGCTAACAGATATGTACACAGAGGTGCAAAGTGACATAAAGGACATGAGAAACCAAGAAGGGGGGAAGATGGAAAGTGTGGATGAATCTACTGAGTACAATGAATACTATTCTGGTGATGAACACATCAAAAACCCTGAGTTAAGCATTATACAAGATATCCATGGCTCCGAGCCCATAACACAGTGGTTACCATGCCAGCCACATACACCAAGGCTGGCAGGTTTGAACCCAGCCCAGGCTGGGCCAGTTAAACAACAATGACAACTGCAACAAAAAAAGAGCAAGGCATTGTGGTGGGAGCCTATAGTCCTAGCTACTTGGGAGGCTGAGGCAACAGTGTCTCTTGAGCCCATGAGTTTGAGGTGGCTGTGAGCTGTGACACCACCGCACTCTACCCAGGGTGACAGCTTGAGACTCTGTCTCAAAATTTTTAAAAAATGTAAATTAAAAGAAAGATATTCACATAATAAAAATATAGGTACCCCCTTAATTAACATTTTGAAATTTTAAAAACTCAAAAAAAATTTTTTTTAAATTCCCAACTTTGGCTCAGCACCTATAGCTCAGCTGTTAGGGAGCCAGCTACATGCACTGGGGCTGGCAAACAACAATGACAGCTACAACAACAACAACAAAAAAATAGCTGGGCGTTGTTGCAGACACCTGTAGGCACAGCTACTTGGGAGGCTGAAGCAAGAGAATCGCTTAAACCCAAGAGTTGGAGGTTGCTGTGAGCTGCGTGATGCCAGGGCACTCTACCTAGGACGACATAGTAAGACTCTGTCTCACACACACAAATAAGAATTCCCAACTCAGAATTCAGGCAATAATAGGGAGGGAAGATGAGGGAAAAGGAGGGGAGGGGAGAAAGAAAAAAAAAGGAAGGAAGGAAGGAGGGAGAAAGAGAAAACAAAAGAAAATGTGACAACTAAACTAATGCATTAAACTGGACTTTGAACAGGTGTGTGGATGAAGGGCTCAGTAGGGGACAGTTGTAAGGACTTTAAATGTAAAATAAAAGAAATTTAAAAATAGAACTGCAGATTAGATAACACGATGTTATGTTATCTAGCACTATGTAATAGACAACACAATTTATTACCATTATTAATTGCTAATAGTAGTATATCTCAAAATATTATCTAGTATAATATGTAACATGACCTAATACATTATGTGAAACCTAATATGTTATGTGAAACCCTTTAACCCTTTAACCCCTGGTATGTGGGGTTCTTTGCTGCAGAAAACTACATTACGCTGTCTCTGGTTACAGGTATATTTCTGGTGGTGTTTGGCTGATAGGCATCAGCAAAGCAAAATGGCAAAACATAAACAACTGGCAAATGTGGGTAAAGAGTTGATGAGAATCCTTATACTATTTTTTCAACTTTTCTATAGCTCTGAAATGATACAAAGTTTGGGGGTGGTGCCTGTGGCTCAGTGGGTAAGGTGCTGGACCTATATACCAACGGTGGCAGGTTCGAACCCGGCTCCAGCCAAACTCCAACAACAAAAATAACCGGGGGTTGTGGTGGGCACCTATAGTCCCAGCTGCTGGGGAGGTTGAGGTAAGAGAATCACTTGATCCCAAGAGTTTGAGGTTACTGTGAGCTGTGACACCACAGTACTCTACCAAGGGGGACAGGGTGAGACTCTGTCTCAGAAAAAAAAAAAATGATATAAAGTTTTAAAATATCAGGAAAGAGTCACATGAATAATAAGGATAGGCATGATATAACATGGCAGTTCACTAGTTTATTCTCTTGGTTGTGATTGGCAGTTTGTGCAATTACACAGGCGAGGGAAAAAACATTAAGAATAATTTGATAAAAAATTATAAATGGTCATAAATAAATAGGTATATATAAAGAAAGACATTTAATTAATTAGAAGCCTATAGTTGTTGCCTTTATATCCTGGATTCATGAGTAATAAATTTTTTCTTAATAAGAAATGTTCATTTTCTATTAAAAATAGAA